TTTGGTCACACTACTTTTGTCACTGATCTACTTCTGTCTGCATGCCTGCCGGTCTGCCTGCCTGCCTACTCCATAAAAGCATGACAATATGATAACTGATGGATGGTCGCAATGAGGACACGCGGGCGAGCTAAGTAGTGTGGCGGGTAGTAAAAGGCATGCATGAATGTACTAGACATGTGATTAGAGGGACAAGAATTGGGGCGCGATTACTAACCTCCTTGAGAAGAGGCATCATGCCGGAGTGGTGGAAGGCGATGCCACGGACAGCGAGATCCTGCAGGAGGATCACTTGCGACACTTCCTTGTCGCATGCCTCCAACCGTGTGCTGAGGCATTTGTGCAGCACACTGTTGACCTCCTTCTTCTCAACTGCAGCATAAAAAACAGGTGTCAGGCTAGCAACTTCTGTCTAACGTGTCTACTTGATGGCAGCAGTAGTAGGGCACACTACGCATCACTCTAACCACTCACCTTCATTGAGCAGATCAACACTGTCCAACTGCTGCACCAGCTTCATGATTTGTGCCCGCGATAATACAAGTGCGATGGCAGGCAACAGATGACGCTTCTGCAAAAGGCTAATCAAACATATCCTCGTGTTGATTTAATCCTACTTCTTCCCTGATGTCCATTGCTATCTGTAAAGAGAAATTCATTTTGTTGCTTCGACATTCAAATCAACTGTGCTCCGTATTGTCATTCGACAGCGCACAAAAAGCCGACTATGTGCGTTATGAGAACACTTACCATGCCCGACATCGTATGTAACATTTGATGCACCATCGGTGTCGCTTCAACATTCCTCATCGTGGTCGTCCACCAACTTTGGGTTGGTCAAAGAGGCAGCGGCCTACTCGTAGCCTGAAGTGAGAAGATAACATTGTTGTCTTATCAAATACTCATGCTTTCATGATAGGCGTTTCACTAACAATGCAATCCAAATGTGGCGCCCTTGGCATAGCAACCATTAGCCGCAGTCACTTCGACTACGGCTATTTCGACACCACCTCGACTTTTGTGCCTGAGTCGTCTGCTCATCTTCCTAGGTATCCAACTTGTCCTCAATATGACCACTTCCGCGTGCTTACACACGACTTGGCATGTTGGCGTCTATCTCACACCAGCCACCTGCTGGTACTGGTGCGGCTGCTGCTGCACCTGCGCCCTCAGCAGCGCATTTGCCATTTTAATTGCACTACCACACAACCAATGAGACTACACGCATTCAAAGCAGCTGTGCGGGTGCACTAAACTGTACGGCTAAATTGGCCTTCCTTCTTCACCACCAGGTAGTTTGTTGCGGATTCGCCTGTCACGGCCCGTGTACAGGTATTGCTGCAGGGGCACGGGCCGTTTCAGCGTCTGACACACGTGGATTTCACTTCCACCGCGTGCTCGACCGAGCCAATCCGCAAACTCTACGACGTTTGGCAGGGTGGCACTAAGCAACACCAACGTCACGTTTTGCAGCAGCATGAGCAGCAACTGCTCCTACACGTGACTACGCTCCTTATCACACAGGTAGTGCACCTACTCACTGATCGTTTTCACTACAGCTAAGAGCCTCTCACAGAAATGTGCTTTTGGCATCAGCTTTCGGCATCAGGTGGCAAAGGCGGGTGGCAATAGCATTTGTCCAAGCAGCCGCATGACTCACCTCGTCCATGATGACAGACACGATGTCTGCGATTGAGGCATTGCGTACCATTTTAAGGAGAATTTCAGTGGTCATGATCAGGATGCGCGCGTTCACTGACACACTGATGTCTCTAGTCACCAGTCCCACGTCATCTCCAAACGTTTTCCTACAACCATACCATGACATTTATATAGCTCCATCTCCTCTAACATGCCAGCCGACACGCACTAGCTCCCTCAGCTACCTAAATGCATGTGCAACACTCAAACAAATGTGACTGACGACAGCAAGGAACGAGGCGATGTTGCCGTGCGATTTCGTAGAGGCCAAAATGCTAGTGCTGCGGGGCACTGGCACTGAAATGACTCGTGTTCTGTGACCAGTGGAAAATCAATCGTGTTGACTCTCTATTATGATTATGGCAAGTGAGCAAGAAGGAAGTCGCAGACTGCATCATGTGGCATGGCCATGCATGCAGCTGCACGTTGATGATACCAAGTTAGCATAGAAATGCTCAACGTGGAACATGCTAGGCTCCTAAACACAGACCATCAAAACGATAACCGCGATAATGCCCTTATTAATGTTTCCAATGTAAAGCAAGCATCAAAAAACTCAGGAGACTCACCATGACGGAAAAAAAATGATCCTTTGCAAACAGCGTCAGTTGCGCTGCCTCCGTATATGTTTCATGTGCGTATATTTCCATTGCGTCATTGTCCTCCTCTTCATCCACCTCATCTGCTGCCTCTGCATCATCCTCTTCCTTTTCATCCGTTTCAAAGTCTGCTCCTTTTTCCTTTTCTGACTTATGCTAATCTTCTTCCTCGTCCTATTTGTGTGCTGCTTTTCTCGTTGAGGCTTTACGTGATCGCATGTCTGTCTTGTGCTAAACGAGGGCTTCGTGGACTTGAGCGTTTTGGCTCCTTCTATTTCACTCGACATACCGTGAGACAACTCACATGTCTCCCCTTAACATCCAGCCTCGAAGCTTAGTGGCCAGCGTTTATTCTGCGACCTCAGGTTGATGAGATGCTGGCCACGTTGCATTGTGTCCAATTAAATATGCCCTCGGTGTTGCATCAGTGATGGATCGTAGGTGCGAGTTCGACAAAGTGGCACTAACGACATGGACGGTCGAATGAGCTCTGGGAACACGCCTCAGTAAATGTGTAACATCAAACAAGTATTTTAAACACGATCAGCATTTTGGCATTCTGAAGGTAGCATTTGTGCTCACGGCTTCATATTGATTTTAGTGCCTCAAATGAAGTTTCGGTTTCTTCCACAACGTGCTGCAACATCGCCACGTTCCTTGCTGTCGCCAATCATATCTGCTCAAAATTGCCTCCATGTATTTAGCTAGCTGATGTAGCCAGAGTAAAGTGGTTGGCATTTTAGAGGAGATGGAGCTTTCCAAATGAATCGGACACCTTCCAGAAACAGGTCATTTGGTGCCCAGAACGCAAGCAGTCGGTTCCTGTGGCTGCGCACACTTTGGCGGGCAAGACTGGTTGCCGAATACGCCCGTGTGATATGCAAACGACGGATCATGTGCCAGTTACACCAGTCCCATCAAAGACTTATCTAATCAGAAATTCCGCGATTTTCGGTAAGCCAATGCGAACTGCCATTCACAATGCCCCTTCAAATTCAAAATGATCGATTGGCTTAGATTATGTAACTTGATGTCCTCTGTGACTTCCTTTTTGCTCACTTGCACTAATCATAATAGAGAGTCAACACGATTGATTTTCCACTAGCCACAGAACACGAGTCATTTCAGTGCTAGTGCCCCGTAGCACTAGCATTTTGGCCTCTTCGAAATTGAATTGCAACATCGCCTCGTTCCTTGCTGTCGTCAGTCACATTTGTTTGAGTGTTGCACATGCATTTAGGTAGCTGATGGAGCTTGTGTGTAGAGGATGGCATGTTAGAGGAGATGGAGCCATGTAAATGTCATTTAATGGTTGTAGGAAATCATTCGGAGATAACGTGGGAGTGGTGACCGGAGACATCAGTGTGTTAGTGACCTCGCGCATATTAATCAGATGCACAGTTGATTGTCGAAGTAACAACACGAATATCTCTTTGCAGAAATAAGGCACAAGTCAACTCGTGGATAGGTTTGATTGGCCTTCTGGAGGAGCGTGATCTCTTGCCTGCCATCGCCTTTGTATTATCGCGGGCACAAATCATGAAGCTGCTGCAGGAATTTGACAGTGTTGATCTGCATAATGAAGGTGAGTGGTTAGAGTGATGCATAGTGTGTGCCCTACTACTGCTGCCATCAAGTAGACACGTTGGAAAGAGGTTTCCAGCTTGACACCTGTTTTTTATGCTGCAGTTGAGAAGAAGGAGGTCAACAGTGTGCTGCACAAATGCCTCAGCACGCGGTTGGAGGCATGCGACAAGGAAGTGTCGCAAGTGATCCTCCTGCAGGATCTCGCTGTCCGTGGCATCGCCTTCCACCACTCCGGCATGATGCCTCTTCTCAAGGAGGTTAGTAATCGCACCCCAATTCTTGTCCCTCTAATCACATGTCGAGTACATTCATGCATGCATTCTACTACCCGCCACACTACTTAGCTCGCCCGCGTGTCCTCATTGCGACCATCCATCAGTTATCATATTGTCACGCTTTTATGGAGTAGGCAGGCAGGCAGACCGGCAGGCATGCAGACAGAAGTAGATCAGTGACAAAAGTAGTGTGACCAAATCAGCCGTGGATTAGTCTAAGTGTTAAATAATGGCAGCAGCGAATCGGTGTTTCCGACTCTCATGAAGTGAGTGCGAAGCTTGTGTTCACATTGCAAGAATGGACGTAAGCATAGGGTAATGCAAAACAGTGCGTCAGGTAGTCAGACATGTCATCTCGTCAAATGCAAACTCGTGTTATGCCCTTGCACCACGCTGTGCTTGGTCGAGGGGCGGTGTGGGAGACGTGGCATGCTGTTATGCACTGGCACTGATTGTTTCCTTGATGTTGTGTTTAGGAAACGATCACACAAGATTCCGATACGTGCCAAGATTCAA